AAGGTCATTAAATATTTTCACAGCATTTTAAAACTGCACTTATAAATATACCATATTTGACTTCTTGTTATTTCAACTGCTCTAACTTAATAAAACTTGCCCAAATAGTAAATAAATCCTATAAATATGATTTTAAAGTTTTTAAAGTGATTTTAAAGTGATTTTAAAGTTTTCTTAGATATTCTAAAAGTATGCAAGAAATTAGGAAGTTTATTTTATTTTATATTTTATTTTTTATATTTTATATTTTTATATTTTATTTTATTTTCATTTTGTATATTTTATTTTATTATATTTTATTATATTATATTTTATTTTTTATTTATTTATTTATTTTATTTTTTTGACACAGAGTCTCGCTTTGTTGCCCAGGCTAGAGTGAGTGCCGTGGCGGCAGCCTAGCTCACAGCAACCTCAAACTCCTGGGCTCAAGCCATCCTCCTGCCTCAGCCTCCCGAGTAGCTGAGACTACAGGCATGCGCCACCATGCCAGGCTAATTTTTTCTATATATATTAGTTGGCCAATTAATTTCTTTCTATTTATAGTAGAGACGGGGTCTCGCTCTTGCTCAGGCTGGTTTTGAACTCCTGACCTTGAGCAATCCGCCCGCCTCAGCCTCCCAAGAGCTAGGATTACAGGCGTGAGCCACAGCGCCCGGCCTAAAAAATATTTTTATGAATTATGTCATACATACAGCAAAGCACAGAAATAATAAGTACAGTTGTCCCTGGTATCCTTGGAGGATTGGGTCCAGGACCACCCAGTGATACTAAAATCCACAGATGCGCAAGTCCTTGATGTAAAATGATACTAGCACATAACCTATGCTCATCCTCCCATAAACTTTAAATCATCTCTAGATTACAAATAATACCTGATATGATGTAAGTGCTGTGTACCTAGTTGTTATACTGTTTAGGGATAATGGCAAGGAAAAAGTCCACATACTTAGTACAGACAGTTTTTCTTTCCTGAATATTTGTGATCTGCAGTTAGTTGAATCCATTGATGCAGAACCCATGTGTCCCAGAGGGCCAACTCTACATAGCTCAATGATACATCACTGTGAGAGTAGTTTTCATTCTAGAGTTAGGCTGCAGTAAGGGCTGTTATGGTTAAATAAGTCACTATCTGTTTCAAACATAGTGATAATGGCAATAGGAAGAAAAATGTTTCTTCCTATTGCCTATCTACGGCTGGGGCTGGTCGGTTGGAGGCTAGCATGAATGTTCATTGGCCTCTTAAGACCTTATAATTTCCAAATAGCTTTCAAAGGGCTCTGCAAAGAGTGGCTGGGGGTGGGGTGGGGGTGGAAAGAGAGATCCACTTAGCATGAGTTACCTACCGGTATTTCATTCTTTTTTATGGCTGAATAAGTCTGTGTGGTTATAGCACATTGTATTTATCCATCATTAGTTGATGGACATTTGGGTTGATTCCATTTAGCTGTTATTGATAATGCTGCTATAAACATTAGTATACAAGGTTTTTTGTGGACATGTTTTTATTTCTGTTGAGTACATACCTAGGAGTAGAATTGCCGTTACATGCATTTAAAAGAAATAGTTTAGCTTTTAGATGAATTTTAGATTTATAGAAAAATTGTAAAGACAGTCTAGACAGTCTCCATGTACCACCTTACCCAGTGTCTCCTGTTATTAACATCTTACATTAGTATGATGCATTTGTCACAATTAATGAAATAATATATCATTAATATTAATATGAACAATATTGACTATTAATGATAACACATTAAGTACAAAGGTAATTGCATTTTCAGACTGAATTTTAAATCAATATAACTAGGCTCAAACACATCTTTATTAATCAAAATAGGAACCATCACAATCAACACATTTTTGCCAACAAGAAATAAGTTTGTTTATTCCTGTAGCATAAAAATCTGTGCTTCAGGATTCCACGAACTCTTAGAAAGCATTTTCTGCATCCTGCTGGTTGTGGAAGCGTTTTCCCTGCAAAAAGTTGTGGAGATGCTTGAAGAAGTGGTAGTCGGTTGTTGAGTGGCTGATGAGACAAAACTTCGCAGTCCAATTCGTTCAACTTTTGAAGCGTTGGTTGTGTGATGTGGGGTCAGGTGTTGTCAGGGAGAAGAATTGAGCTCTTTCTGTTGACCAATGCCAGCTGCAGGCATTGCAGTTTTTTGGTGCATCTCATGGATTTGCTGAGCAGACTTCTCAGATGTAATGGTTTTTCTGGGATCCAGAAAGCTGTAGTGGATAAGACCAGCTGCAGACCACCAAACAGTGACCAAGACCTTTTTTGGGTGCAAGTTTGGCTTTGGGAAGGTCTATGGAGCTGCTTCTCAGTCCAGCCACTGAGCTGGTTGTCACCAGTTGTTGCATAAAATCCACTTTTCGTTGCACATCACAGTCTGATCAAGAAATGGAACATTGTTACATACAACAAGAGAAGATGACACTTCAAAACAATGATTTTTTTTTTTCAGTCAGTTCATGAAGCACCCATTTATCCAGCTTTTTCACATTCCAATTTGCTTCAAATGTCAATCTGATTGTAGAATGGTCGATGTTGAGTTCTTCAGCAACTTCTCGTGTAGTCCTAAGAAGATCAGCTTCGATGACTGCTCTCAATTGGTCGTTGTCAACTTCCCACGGCCAGCCACTGTGCTCCTCATCTTCAAGGCTCTCGTCTCCTTTGCAAAACTTCTTGAACCACCACTGCACTGCACGTTCATTCCTGGGTCAAACGCATTTTTGGTGTTGTGAGTTGTCTCCACTGCTTTTCGACCCATTTTGAACTAGAATAAGAAAATCATTCGATTTTGCTTTTTGTTTAAACATCATTTCCATAGTTTAAAATAAATATAAAAAAGCAAGTACTAAGTCATTAGCAAAAACACAGAGAAATGTGCAGTAAAATGATATATAACATCACACTTATTTAAGAATGTATTCCAATATCAAACGGCAAATTTCAACAGTTCTAAAACCACAATTACTTTTGCACCAGCCTAATATTTAATGTCCATATTCTCTTTGGATTTCCTTACTTTTTACCTAATGTCCTTTTTCTGTTCCTGGATTCCATCCAGGACACCAAGGGCTGTTTACTCGTCATTTCTGTTTTGGCTTCTCTAGACTGCGACGGTTTCTTAGACTTTCCCTGTTTTTGAGGACCTTGACAGCTTTGAGAAGCACTAGTCACAATTGGAGTTGTCTGATGATGCTCTCACAAGTAGAGGGGAGCTCTGGGTTGGGGGCTCCTGGGTTAGACCAAGGCGAAGTGCCCTTCTCATCACGTCATAGCAAGGGTACGTACTATCAGATGATTCGTCACTGTTGACATTGACCTTGAACAGCTGGCTGAGCAGGTGTTTGTCAGATTTCTCTACTGCAGAGTTACTCTAATTTCCCCCTGTCCATACTGTGCTCTGTAGAAGGAAGTCACTCAGTGCAGCCCACACTTCAGGGATTGGGAGTGAGGCTCCTCCTCTCTGAGGGTAGAGTAGCTACCTAAATTATTTGGCATTCTTTTGCAAGAGAGACTTGGCTTCTTCTGAATTTACTTATTTATTCAAACATTTATCAGTGTGGACTCATGGATATTTATTCTGTACTTTGATAATCCATCACTACATTTTGTTGCTCAAGGTGTTCTAGCTTTGGCCATTGGGAGCTCTTATAGTGGGCTTTTGTATCCTTGTGACATGCCCTATCAATATAGGGTTTAAATTTGTTTTAGCACTTTCTTTCTGGCACTATAAACTTCTCCAGGCTCAGCCTGCATATTTCTTTGTTCAGTCCTAGAATTAGCCATTTCTCCAAGAATTCCTGCTTCCTCTTATTGGAGAATGCAATTAAAAACCAAAGTTTGGGCTCTAGATGTGTTCCATATATTTGTTTTTAACCCTTTGAACAACCACGTGTGAACTCGTGGCTTTTCTTTTATTTTCAAGTAAGTCCGAAACAGCAGGTGGAGTGTGGTTGTTAAAAGTAAGGACTCAAATCAGACTGCTTGGCTTCCTCTTGTGGATCCAGCACCTGTGACCTGTGTGGACTTAATCCCCCTGTTCCTCAGTTTCCCCTTGTGTAAAATGGAAATAATTATAGCACCTACCTTGTAGGCTTGTTGTAAATGTTAACAGAGGTGAGACCTGTGAAGTGTTCAGTGGTGCTTAGCACCTAATCCATGCTCAGTGTGGGTGGAGGTGGCAGTAGTTATTTGGGAGCACAGGGAAAGTGCTATCTCTATTCTCCAAGTTCAATGACTTTCCTGAGACAGTGTCAGATGGGGGTTCACCAAGGGGCCTTGTGCCTCCCTGGCCCCCTGCCACCTCTCGGCTGTAAGTTTTTGTTTCAGTGTGTGAGTGATAAATACCTGAGATACCGCAGTGCTCTGTGTGGAATATTAATGCTGGCCCTGGGGTCCAGGGCTCAGGAGGTCATAGGAGGAAACAGATAACACTTAAATGCAGTTATCAAAATGTATACTTTTAAAAATGTATGTATGATGGTACATATTTATGGGGTACGTGTCCTATTGACACATGCATAGAACGTGTAATGGTCAAGTGAGGGTATTGGGATATCCGTCACCTCATATTTCTCATTTCTTTGTGTTGGGAACATTTCAAATACTTCTAGTTATTTTGAAATAAACAATATATTGTTAATTGTACTACTACTGTGTTATTGAACCCTAGAGTGCATTCCTTCTATTTAACTGTATGTTTGTACCCATTAACCAACCTCTCCATTCCCCCCCCTCCCCAATTCCCAGCCTCTGGCAACTATCATTCTATTCTCAACCTCCATGAGATCAACTATTTTAGCTCCCACATGAGTGACAACATGCGATATTTCTGTGCTTGGCTAATACCTGTAATTCTAAGATATTTATTAAATATTTTAAGAATAGGATACTGTATAATTTTTAAAAACTCATTCTAGGTTAGGAATGAAAAGCTGTTCAATTAAGTTAACTCGAATCCTTTCTTAATTTTGTTTCCCTTTAGCGGACTCATTGGGCGAAGCTGGGCCATGTTGTTTGCCAGTGGAGGCTTCAAGGTGAAACTCTATGACATTGAGCAACAGCAGATAACAAATGCCCTGGAAACCATCAGGTGGGTCAGCTGGTGCCTTCTGGGAGGAATCGAAATGGGTCTGTTTCTCTCAATTGGTCTTATCATTCCTTCAAAGCTATAAATATCTGTGATTTCACTTCTTCACTTGACGGCTGTTGTGGTGCCTCTGAGTTGACAAAGCCCAGGCCCAAGGTGGCTGGGACGTGAATTCGGACTGGAGAAGGGGTTCCCGTTGTGAGGAGAGGATCCTTCGGGTTGAGGAGATGCCAGATGGGAGTGGGGAAGCCGCACGTGGATCTTAGGCTTCACAGGGCTGGAGAGCCAGGCTTTCCTGTGTTCTCTCTGGGCGGAGTGAGCCCACTTCTGGCATGTGACAACCAGAGCTGCACAGGCGCATTACCTTTTAGAAACAGAGGGCCCACAGTTTTTTTTTTTTTCTTGACCTATATTGATCCAGTGATGGCAGGACCCAAATTAAAATAAATATCCTGAATTTTAGAGGTTTAGCAGCACTCCTGTGAAAGGATAGAACTGGAGTCGGTATGTGGGTGTCAGTCCCTGACGACTACACTAGTTAAGGTGTGAGCGTAAGTGAACTTACCAAATGCTCAGCATGCTCAAGGCTGAGTTTTAGGAATGTTAGTCACGGGTAGAGGAATAGGAACCAAAGAAACAGGCAGAGGGAAGGAGGTGAAAGATGGAGGAAGCAAGCTCAGGAGCGTGCCAGAAGGCAGACACGCCCTGCCCTCCCTGTGCAGCACACCCGCCTGTGCCGGCAGTCATTGCGCACAGTTCTGACCATCTCAGATGTGGGTTTGCTTAGCTGGTTGTTATCCTCCTCTGGATGGATTTATAACTTGACTTCGTATTTTTGTGCAACAAAAATATGCTTAATTTTTCATCTTTTCATATGATACATTGGGCTATAGGCATCAAGAAATTGGGTATAGTGGCTCACATCTGTAATCCCAGCACTTTGGGAAGCCAAAGTGGGACAATCGCTTTAGGGCCAGGAGTTTGAAATCAGCCTGGGCAACACAGTGAGACCCCATCTCTACAAAGAATTTAAAAATTAGCTGGACATGGTGGCATGCACCTGTAGTTCCTGCTACTCAGGAGGCTGAGGTGGGAGGATAGCCTGAGCCCAGGAGTTTGAGGCCACAATGAGCTACTATCGTGCACTCCAGCCTGGGTGATAGAGTGAGACCCTGACTCTTAAAAAAACACAACAAAAAACTATAGTCTAACATTGTTTTATAGATTAAGAATCTGGGCCCAGAGAAGTTATTTCTTCTATATAGTTATATATAGCCAGTGCCAACGTAAAATGTCAATCTAAAAAACAAACCAAAAAGTAAAACCACCATAACAAAATCACTTGTGCAGACTGTACTAGTTTGGAAGGAAGGGGACATGGCCCTGCCAGGCATGTTCTATTCACTAGGGATACGTAGGTAGATAACGTAGACAAACTCTATGTAGACAAAGCCTAGAAATCTTACTGTATTGAATGTCATAATAACCCTATGAGGCAGATATTGCCTTTTTTTTTTTTTTTTGAGGCAATCTTGCTTTGTTGCACAAGTTGGAGTGCAGTGGCGCAGTCATAGCTCGCAGCAACCTCAAACTCCTGGGCTCAGGTGATCCTCCTGCCTCAGCCTCCCAAGTAGCTGGGACTATAGGTGTGTGCCTCACACCTGGCCAAGTTTTTAACTTTTTGGAGGGACAGGGTCTTGGTATGTTACTCAGGATGGTCTTGAATTTCTGCCCTCAAATGATCCTTTTTTACCCCTCAATCATGCTGGGATTAGACATGAGCCACCATGCCTGGCCTATTGCCATTATTTTATGAGAAAGCATAGGTCTATCAGTGGTCTGTAACCTACTCAAGGATCCTGTAAGATACAAGATTCCAGCCCTGGTCTGTCTGATTTCAAAGATATGTTAAGCATATTCAGTATTCATTTATGCTACTTGCTTTATAGAGATCCTGCAAATGTTATTTTTAATATAATTTGATATATACAAAAATAGATAATTTATATAAGCTTAATAATGAACATCTGTGACTCTATTACCCAACCTAAGATCTAGAACATTTTCAGTATCTTGTGTGCACCTTTTAGATCTCATCCCCTTGCTTTTCCACCAGAGGTAATAAGTTTCCTATATTTTGTATTTACTATTTACTTGCCTAAAAAACACTTCTATCACATATGTATCCTAAACAACATATTGTTTGGTTTTGCTTGTTTTTGTGCTTTATGAGACTATTTCTAAATTTATCCAGGTTACCGCCTATAGCTATAGAACATCTATTTTCACTTCTATGTCCTTTTGAGTGAATTTGCTATATATTTATTATCCTCTTGGTGAATATTATAGCTCTTTCTGGTTTGGGGCTATTATAAACAATGCTACCATTAATAGGCTTGCATATGTCTTCTGGTATATAAGTGCAAGAGTTTCTGCAGGGTACATACCTAAGAGACTGCTGGGTCTCTTTCCTGCAAGGACTCTGATTGCATGGATATTGAACTATGTCATTTTTTTTCTTCCTGTCTTTTAACCTCTTTCATATTTCCTGTCTCCCTGTGTTTGGGGAATACATTCTAGATACATTCTTTAGATCTTTCTTCCAGTTTATCAATTCTCTTTTTAGCTGTGTCTAATCTGGCTATTTAAACTATGGGCTGAGTTTATTTCAATATTTTTTTTTTTATCTTAAAAGTTCAATTTGCCTTTTTTCCCCAAATGTACCTGTTTATAGTCCCTGTCTGGTTATTCTTTATGGTTCCATATTTCATGTCTTTGAGTATTCACGATTGTTTTGTATTATGTACCTGATAAGTACGATATTGAATCTGCCTTAGATCAGATTCATCAGAATCAGATCCTGAGATGAGGATTCCTGGGCAAGTGATTTCTTTAAGTGCTCCCAGGAGAAACCCGTAAGGGAATAGGGGAGATAGGATAAAGAAGAAACTGACTTAAGGGTATGATTTCAGGAGTAGTCTGAGGCTCACAAAGATTCCATGGGAGTTCTGGAGCATAGAGTATACTGCAAAGTTTTTTACCCATTAAGGCAAGTTAGCTGAGCTTTCATATTCCTGTATCAGTCACTGACTAAAGGCCTCCCCTGGTGGACATAAGCTCTCAGGCATTTCAGGTTCTCTGGTCTGAGTCCAGGGTAGTACTCTGAGGAAGGCTGCAGGTGTGAACCTTTAGCAACGAAGAACTCAAGGGTGTGGGGGTGGGGGGGTCACGAAGTGCTGGTGCAGGGGATTCTAAGGGATCTGGGTGAAGCACCAACAGCCTTCACTATAGCACTTCACTACTATATTGGCAGGCTTAAATATATATATTTTTTTGACTCATTCATACTTCCATTCAAGAATACTAGTTGAGAACCTGCCATGTGCCAGGCATATTTTAGCACTGGAGATTAAGTTGTAAACACAATAGATTAAGATCTCTGACTGCAAGGAACTATGGGGGAAAGGAAGGCTAGAGACATATATAATACAAAATGAGTTACTAAACTATACAGCATATTAGAGCAGGGGTTGGCAAACCATGTCCTATGGCCTGTTTTGTATAGCCTTTTCAATTCCTAGGTTTTTTCCTCTTTTAAAACATAGTTTTTATTTTTTAGAGCAGTTTTAGGTCACAGTAAAGAAGAAAGTACAGAGATGTCCCACATACCCCTAACCCCCCCCCCACATATTCATAGCCCCCACCCAACATCCTCCACCCAGAGTGGTACATTTGTTATAACAGATGAACTTACATTGACATATCATCACCCAGAGTCCATGGTTGACATTAGGATTCACTCTCAGTGTTGTATGTTTCATGGGTATGGCAAATGCATGCTAACATGTATGCACTGTTATATTAACAATATCACTCAAGGAAGTTTCACTGCCCTAAAAATCCTGTGTTCCACCCATTCATCCTCCCCTCACCTAACCTCTGGCAGCCACTGATCCTTCATTGTTTTGCCATTTTCCAGAATGTCATATATTTGGACTCATGCAGTATGCAGGCTTTTCAGATTGGCTTCTTTCACTTAGTAATATGAATTTAAGTTTCCTCCGTGTTTTTTCATGGCTTGATAGCTCATTTCATTTTAGTGCCGACTAATACTACATTGCCTGGATGTGCTGCAGTTTATTAATCTATTCACCTACTGAAGGACATCTTGGTTATTTCCAAGTTTTTGAAATTATGAAAAAAGCTGCTATTAAATGTTTGTGTGCAGGTTTTTGTGTAGACATGTTTCCAACTTCTGTGGGTGAACACCAAGGGGCACAACTGCTGGACCCTGTGGTAAGAGTATGTTTTGTAAGAAACTTCCAAAGTGGCTGCACCATTTTACATTCCCATCAGCAACGAGTGAGAGTTGCTGTTGCTCCACATCTTCATTGGCAGTTGGTGTTGCCAGCCTTCTGGATTTTAGCCATTCTGATAGGTGTGTGAGATATCTCCTTAATTAGCATTTCCCTGATGACATATGATGTGGAGCATCTTTTAATGTACTTAATTTGCCATCTGTATATCTTGAGTTTTTAAAAAAAAATTTTTTTTTTTTTGGTTAAAGGAGGAGCCTTAATTTTCCTTACTTGCTGTGATTCCTAATGCATAAAAATTATTCTTATGATCCAGGGTAAATAGAGGCCTTCAGTGATTTTTTGGTAGACCACAGTGCTGGAAGTCAGTCTTCAGATAGTCTTTAAATGTTAAGCCTCAATGAAACAGCTCAAGGCCATATAGTCCTGCTGTTGTAATTCAGAAGAGATAACCTCTTGATAGAGCACTGACTGGTTCTAAAAAACAAAACTGTGAGGCAAAAGGATTTTCACAGATCAAGTCCGTGCTTTTAAAAGGCATGGTGGGTGGGGCTCACGCCTATAATCCTAGCACTCTGGGCAGGAGTTGGAAACCAGCCTGAGCAAGAGGGAGACCCGTCTCTACTATAAATAGAAATAAATTAACTGGCCAACTAAAAATATATAGAAAAAATTAGCTGGGCATGG